AAGAGAGAGCTACGTTTAAGTACATGGAGGGAAGGGTGGTTGGGAAATCAGTTACAATTGATAACTACCTTAGCTAATTACATTGATGCCCTCTAATTCTTTTTGTATCCCTTCTTTTCCCTCTTGGATTCTACCCTCTAATAATTTCTACTGGCAAATTATTGTGTGAACGATGGTCCACATAATTGTATGGATCATGATTATCAAATACATTTTTAATATATTAAAAATACATTATTTTTATATTGAAAGTACCTTACATACATATATAATGTACTTAGTATATTTAAAATATACTTTTTATTGCATGCAACTCCAAAGTTCATAACTTTGAAATTAATATATGGCATAGCTAGACGGCCTAATATTTAAGATTGTTCATGTGCATATTGAGGACTACGGAGACAAAGATGCGTTATTCGTGGATTCATCGGATACTATTTAACAACACTCTCCAACTTAATTGACGTGAAGTGGGTTTAGTAACATTAAGATTATATTCTCGAATTATTAGTTCTCATCTTTTATTGATTACACACTTAATTCGATAGTATTTGAAAGAAAAAATCAATATTCGAACTAAGATTGTGATTTTGGTCTTTAAAGGTCAATTGTATGTTGCTACATCTAGAGTTAGAAATCTCAAAGGTCTAAAAATTTTGATCCGTGGTGACTCTAAAATTGTAATTCAATTACTATTGTAGTTTACTAAGTTCTTAAAAATTTGTAATATTAAATATTATGTACTAAATTTTTAATATAGTTTAAGATTTGTAGTAATCACCCACCTTAAATATTATTTTAATTGTAAATATATTTATGTTCATAATTTTATCATAGGAATTCACACATAATAATTATTAAATAACAAAAATTTTATATATGAATAAACCTCATATAGGGTATATTTTTATAACATATTTTTCGTGCATCGCACGTGACAAATACTAGTACTAATAATAGTAGACAAGATGGAATTGAAATTTCGTGCAGGCTGAGGTGCTAGATGATGGAGACTTATGTCTTGTGGAAAATACATTCCCTTTAATATAATACGGGAAAATTATAATTTATACCCCTCTATAATATGTTAATTATCAATATCACCATTTAATTATTAGTGGTGTAAATGTTGCCTCTGTATATCTAGATAACTCGATGACTATATTTCCAACACGATAAATAATTGAGGAACCACATTAATTAAAAATTTAAAATTGAAAATAAGAGGCCAAATTGAATAATGACCAATAGTTAAGAGATCAAAAGTGAACAACTTCTCTAGACGTCAAAAATCAGTCTGCACGGGCTTAATTCATTGGTTCAATAGACAGTATTTGGGATAAATATAAATTTTCAAAATTCAATAGTATTTGAGCAGATCGCTTGTGCCCATCGACACTTGGTCTTGTCTGAGCCACTAAATTAATGTGATTTACATCATCTCAATTGTTCTGTCGGTCCGGGTGTGGGGATCCTTGGACAACCTTTTGCGGCAAGAATGTCAAATATTAGCTCAAAACTTAGGGTGCGTTTGTTTCATGGATTTACACCTTAAAAATGGGAATCAAAATCATAGTGTGTTTGGTTGATAACTTTTTAAAAGAGTTAATTACTGATTTGGTCCCTCGATTATGAGGATTTCACAAATTTGGTCCTCGACTTTTAAAATTCCTCAATTTAGTCCCTGACTATGCTTTTTTTTTTTTTTAACCCTAGATGGTCATAACCGTTAGACATCCGTTAACTCGAGACCAAATTGATAATTTCGCTATAGTCAAGGGACCATTTCAGTAATTAACTTTCGGAGAAAATGGTACATGTGATGACTGAAATGGTCACTTGACTATAACAAAATTACCAATTTGGTCCCGAGTTAACGGATGTCTAACGGTTAGGACCATTTCGGATAAAAAATGCATAGTCGGGGACTAAATTGAAAAATTTTGGAAGTCGAGGACCAGATTGGTGAAATCCTCATAGTCGATGGACCAAATCGGTAATTAACTCCTTTTTAAAACACAAGTATGGGTTTTGATTACCTCTCAATTAAAAATCTCATTCCCTAATTACAAATGGGTATCATTCCATCTTATTGGTAATCTAATTTTTAAATTTAGATTATTAGATCTTTGTTTTGATTTTTTGTTCATATTGATGTTTTGGATGTCATTATAGTAGGATCAATTGTCTTGATTTTTTATTTTTGTATTTTAAAAACATTTATTCCCATTATAGGGTTATACACAATCAAACATCAATATTAGTAATAATTCCAATTCTACTCTACTACCAAACATGCAAAATATTTTCACCAAAACCTATTATCATTATCAAATATTTAATTTTCAATCGATTCCAATTCCAACGTGCGTATCAAACACACCCTTAAAACATATAATTTCACTTTTGACGTACTTTAATATACAAGGTTATTAAAGCTCACAAACATAACGCATAATAGTATTTTATTCTTCTTCAGCACACATGATAGGCAACTAACACATTCTATGGCAGAGCTATGACAAATAGAGGGAATAATATGCAAGGGACATGACAAATCAACTCTTATAACAATGGATATTTAAACATTCAAGACCCAGTAAAAAGATAACAGATCGATAAAAGAAGAAACACATTTCAAAGAAAACAACTCAAATTCTACGAGTGTGACGATTACCTCAAACTCTAGACAAAATACTTGAAATTCAAAGTTGAGAAGATTGAAAGAAAATGTGAAAACTTTGAATGGAGTTCTAATACTTCTAAATCACTCTGCCCCAAAGAGAGTCCGTCAATGGCATCTCTATTATTGAAAATTCAACAGAAGCAAGCTGTAAAGACTCTGACCCAACTAAGAACCACCCTGATGGCTAATGCTTCTGCTTCTCTGGGGAACACACCCCAGGCCAAGGAATTGAAATTGCTGCCACAAATTGACCCTTATCCTTAGCGATGGTAATCTTCTCAGACCGCTCAGAGGCCTTGTCTTCGGCTTTAACGTTCAAGATTCCATTGGCATCAACCTCAAATGTAACTTCAATTTGAGGTAGTGTTCCTCTGTTCCAGTTAGATCAAAGTAATCCTTCAAAAGTTGTTGAACCTTTACAATCCTAGTACTTCCACCAACGAGGACAATTTCATGAATCTGGTTTTTCTGTAACCCAGCATCCTCCATAGCCCTTAACAGGCCCCATAGTCGTCTTTCTAAACAAATCATTTCTCACAGCCCTCTTTGCCCGCTCACATTCAATTCCCTCCTGAGTTTCCCAAGAGCCCAGTTAGTTGTCCTTACCATGCTTCTTCTTCTTCTTATCTAAAGCAAACAAAATTAGTCAAATGCTACACCACCAAACATGAAGAAACAAGTCCCAAAAACCATGTACATAACTACAAATTAAAGACCCTTACCTCCAAGCTGAGTATCTCCATTGGTAGCAATGATGCCTGCATCCTTAGTAGCTTAATTGCCTCTGAGCATCATTGAAGTATGCTGCACCCAAATTCAAAGGAGAGAGAGCATTGCAATCTCAGTAAGACCAATTAATTAAACACATTACTCAATTTGACCTGGTCACAACTGCATCCTTAGCTTCATTTTCTTTCGAAGCTAAGGTAAGCTTCAGCTGTATGTTTCCTTTATCTTAGTAAGAATCATATATGGCACTAATCTCCTCAGGGCTGAAAACCTTTATTGGTTTCACCATCTTTAATTTCATCTTCACTTGTATATATGCATGCTTTTCAATTCCATCCTTAGCTTGTTAACAATATAATTTTGTAAGCTAAGGAACAATTAAGCTACTTTCATGTCCCTTTATTTGCACTTCTTTGTCTTCAAACCTGCTATTTAATTAAGACCCCCATTAGAGTTAGCTTCAAAACACACACACAAACACATATTGAAGCTAGAGAAATTCATTACTTTCTTCCAATATAATAAGCCTCTTTACATCAAAAATGGTCCTCCGATCTCAGGGTTGATTCTTGGCTGCATGCCTCACCAATTAGTCTCTCATTGCCAGTGAAGGAAACCCATGATGTTGTGATACGATTACCTTGCTCATTGCCTATGATCTCGATCTACACGCTCATCTTTGTATTAGAATATTAGATGTGTAACAATTGTGCAAACCTTCAGAATATGATCATCCTCTAGCTTTTGGATTAGTCTCTGCTGTTGCTGTTCACCAACTTTAACAGTCAGTTCATCAATCTTGGCTTCAGATCAGCTGATTCCAGCAAATTAAACAGGCCCTTTCTCAAAGTTTAATCTGAACACAGGCAGCAGCGGAAAGAGTCAATTATATAACACTTCCTAGATTTTTTACTTTTTTAGTTACTAGAACTACAGAATATATCTGACATTTATAAATGAAAATGTGTTGGTGATTTGTCAACCTACCTAATATTCACATCAACCAATTACAAATATACAGAGTTAAATTAAATGTGGCAAGTCTTCATTCATACCTTCAACTTTGTGAGCTCATGCTCCATTTTCCGGTTTTCGTCAAGAAGTAATGATTCAAGTTTAACACAAGATCCCTCTATTACCCATCAGTGGCCACAACTCATTACACCTAAACTCTCAAGATAAAATGTCTTCCTCATCTACTATACTCCGACTCAATGATGCCCCCTACTTACTCAGTGTAAGACCATTAGCTTTCACCTTCAAAATCATGTTGGATCAAGTGCTACTCTAGACAAGAACTAGATAGTCAACATGTGGAGAAAGGAAGATTTATGCTTCAGACTACGACTGCCCTACGTTGGTTCATTGATAATCCTACCCACATTCAATTCAGCCATATAATGAAGGCATCCTTAGTAGAATGCCTCTGAGCATCATTGAAGTATGCTGCAGCACATTTCAAATTAAAGGAGAGGGAGAATGGCAATCTCAGTAATCACATCAAATTAAAATCTCAACCATAGCATCACTCAAATATTACCTGGAACGGTGACAACTGCATGCATCCTTGATTGTCTTTAATTCCAAGGTAAGCTTTTCAGCTGTTTCCTTCAAATTTTATCAGCTCCCAACACTTCTTAGAAATTGAAGTTTAATTTTATTCAGTCTTGCTACAACATCTTCTGCATTTAATCGCTTTTGGGGAGATTCCACTGCACAATGCAAATCCAGTTCTAATATGGAGGATATACACTGCAATTTCACATTGAAGTCTTCATCATCTGCCCTTAGTAAGTTGGGATCTACAACTTGATGTACATCATGAAGCATAGAATCACTTATCCAACTTTTCAAGCTCATATCTTCACCAAATGTTTCATCGGTGGGCCTTCTTGCTGAAAATGTTTCCATTACCACAATTCCAAAACTATAAATGTCACATTGTGTTGATATCATTCCTGTGGATCCATACTCTGCGATTGTGAAAACTACCATCAATCAATCATAAGATTTGGAACGGAAAATGGAGGACTAGCTAGTCCATGATTATTTTAAAATATTGAAATATATTTTAGGAATAAATTGAATGAAAGATTAAAAATCGCATTTACCTGGTGCCATATAGCCTAGAGTTGCTAGAGTTTCGGTATGCTTGAAGCTCTCCTCCTTAGTTAACAACTTTGTCACACTAAAATCACATACATGGGCTACCATTTCTTCATCTAATAGCACATTTTCAGGCTTTAAATCACAATGAACCACCGGCATTGTGTAACCATTATGAAGATACTCCAAACCACATGCAACATCAATCATTATATTCAACCTTTGAGCCATATCCAAGAAGTTTCTTTGTGAATGTAGCCACTGCTCAAGGCTTCCATTTGGCATGTACTCAAGGACCAAGGCCTTAAAGTCTTCGGCAAAACATCCAGTAATCACCTTAGTAAGATTTCGATGGCGTAAATTCTTTAGCACTTCAATCTCAACATTAAAGCTCTCAAGTGCATCTTCTGATTGATTAAATACCTTCACTGCTATAAGCATTCCGTCATCCAAAGTCCCTTTATACACAGAGCCAAAACCCCCTGAACCAATGAGATTGATTTGGCTAAAGCGAGAAGTAGCCCTTGAAAGCTCATCATAAGAAACCCTTAATTTATCCCATGGAAAGCCAATATCTGCCATACTTGGGACTCTAAATTTCCTCTGTCGCTTTGTAAGGACAAATGCAATAATTGCAAAAGTAATTATCAATGAAGCTCCAAGAGATGCAAAAGCAATAAGAAGTCGTATTTTAATCCTCGAATGGTGGGTAGAATGACACGGTGGTACGTGAAACCTAGAATTTCCGCATAACTCCTTGTTAAACATGAACGATGCAATTGAGAAGTTCTTGAAACAACCAGCTGATGGAATTTCACCACTCAATTCATTGAATGAGACATTGAAGTATTTGAGGTATGCAAGTCTTTCCAAAGATACCGGAATAGAACCAGAGAGTTTATTTAGAGATAAATCTAAGGATTCCAAAGAAACAATTTGACTTATTTGCTCTGGAATAGATCCTTCTAGTTTATTCCGATCAAGGGAAAGAGAAACCAAATTTTGCAATTGCCCAATAGTGACAGGGATATTTCCCGAGATTTGATTGTGGGATATGTCTAGAAGTGAAAGTGCCTTCAAAGCTTCAACATCATTGGGTATAAATCCATCTAAGAAATTTGAACTCAAATTAAGCTCTAATAGGTCTTTGAGATAGCACAAACTTGAAGGTATTCTAGAATTCAACCGGTTTGAATCTAGATATATATGTCTGAGGGAAGTGCTATTTCCAAAGCATTTTAGCAAACTGCCAGACAGCTGATTGTTGCTCAAAACTAATTTATACAGATAGTGCAAATCACAAAGGCTACCAGAAATGGAACCATTCAATTTGTTATTACTGAGATCCAATAGTTGGAGGTTACTAGCCCTATCTAACATTGGTGGAATAAACCCGACCAAGTTATTGCTACCCAGATCCAAGGCAATCAAGCTGCTTAAGTTTCCAAGTTGATTTGGTATAATTCCCTTTAGCCCACAACTCGACATATACAACTCTGCAAGAGATGAAGAAAGATTCCCAATTGATGACGGAAGGATAGCATCTAGAGGGTTATCAAATAAGTATACCTTCTCCAAGTAATTGCAATTTACCAAAGAGTTGATAATACTTAACTCTGGAGATGCAGCATCATTTGTGAGCATGTTATCAGATAAATGTAGGTATTTTAGGAGTCTTAGATTACCAAGAGATCCATGTAATGTGCCGCTGAAATGGTTTGCTTCAAGAGCTAACGTAATAAGTTTTGAACAATTTGAGATGGAGTCCGGAATCACTCCACTGAGCTGATTTTCTTGCAGACAGAGTTCCTCTAAGTTCAATAGAGCATGCCCCATGCTTGAAGAAAGTGTCCCCATAAGGTTATTGAATGCAAATGTAATTATTTCTAAAGAAGAAATGTTGAAAACTTCATTGGGTATGGACCCACTTAAGTTGGTTGATTCTAAATTTACTATCTCCAACATATCAAGTTTTCCCAACTCTTTTGGAATTACACCTGCCAGATAACCCAAATCCTATATATATAAGTAATTTTAAATAAAAATATATTATCTAAAAACATAAAAAATCTCAATCAAAGTTATATCCTTGATTTATGTCCATCTTTTTGTGCATTCAAAAAAAAATGTCCATCTTTTTGTATGTGAATAAATGTATACATTTTACTTTAAATGTTGTACATTTCAATATTATTAGACAAATTGTCCCTACTATACTATTGTTAGACAAAAATACCTTTACACCGTTATAACACCGTTACTTTTTAATTCTAACATTGATAACTCCATCATTATTACCTTACACCTATATATATCATATCTTTTTCCACTCCTTTAATTATCATTTTATTAATAAAATCATTATATAATTAATTTAATGATTGATTATATTTTAATTAAATTTCTATGAATGGTAAATCATATATGTGTGTGTATAAAATACATATATTATTTGTGTATATATAATTTGAATTATAATTTTTAATTATTTATATTTATTATTATTTTAATATCGGGCATGAATTTTTGCACATTGCGCATACAAAATGCTAGTTTATATATATGCCATTATATTTGTGTATTATCACAAATTAAAAATTTGTCATTTAATTTTATTTAAAGCTAAATGAACATCTATATCATAAAATAGCATGAGAAATTAGTATGAATAATATAATTTTAAGTTTTGTATCACCATTTATAATAATAGTTTAAAATATAATTTGTAATACTTTCAATGAAATCTAAACTAATTAAAAACACAATTGGAGATATATTTTAATTAATTTTAAAATGTGCTACGGCCCTAGATAAGACCGTAACATATGGGAAATCTTTCAAGCAGATTTCTAAATTCTAAATTCACGCTTTGAGCATGTGATAGCTTTAAGAACAATATAAAAATAACAAGAACACGAATAAGAACAATATATTCCTTGTTTAAAAAAAATGAACAATATATTTCTTCTTTGTGATTCTCATAATTTATATACAATAAACCTATAGTCTAGTGGCACCAAGTTGTTCTCCCATATGGAAGGTTTTGAATTCGAGCCTCAGTGAGGCGATATTGATTAGTAGGTTGAGAAAGTTGTTATGAACAGATATTGCATTCTAATAAAGTCAGTAGTACTCAAAAATTTTTTTATTAGAGTATCGTTGGTAGATCGAGTAACTCACGACCACTCGAAAGTCTTGTTCCGACCACTTTTGGTATCCGGAATAACCTTTGTTGCTATTTCCGACCATTTTTTGCTTTCGGCTTGATTTAAGATCACTTTCAGGTGGTTGAAAATTCCATAATTTCCAGCCGTGATTTAAAATTAAAACCAAGTCATTGATCCAAAAGATTCACCCAAACCAATTCTACAAATGGTTAAAATCATGTACTATATATAGCTCTGATCCAACAACACCGTACCGAATTATTAACTATATAACTTTAATACTGACTTTTAGGGCATATGTATCTATGTAACTCGTTAGGTTATTATTTAAAAGGATTTATAATTATTCATTTAGAGTCTAAACTTACATAAATACAGGAATAAATGTGTATGAGTTTGTATATTTAGAAGTATACGTTGAATGTACCTCCAAAGTTGTTATATCCAATGTTTAGGTATTGAAGCATAGTTAAATTCCCAAGTTCCTTTGGTATATGTCCTGAGAGAAGGAAAACAATGCTTTGTAGTGAGGACAAGTTTAATTAGGAAGGAAATTAAGATAACGTAAGGATGACAAAGCGTGTATCTCCTTTGGAATAACACCTGCAAATTATTTTCATATTAATAAACAACTAACCTATTACTTAATTGCTTTCAAAAAAATAAAAACCCTATTACTTAATAAATGAGCTAAATAAAAGAGAAGTCCAATAACTAATACTTAACCAGCTATTGTTATACTAGGGACTAGGGTCAAAATTACAAGGCAGATCATAAGCATTGACAAGATTATTGAACAAAGTACTGGATCCGACCAGAAGCACATTGGTACTACTCGCAGTAGTCAAAGCAATCAACACGGTCAGTTGGTAACGAGTCAAGGGTGAAGTAGGAAGAGGTGAATGGTTCTTAGAGTCCAATACCACCTCATCAAAGAGTAGTTACAGAGGAGAGCATCCCCGACACTTATGGAGAGGAGTCGTTGCACTTATTAGGAGGCCGTTAGTGCCCATTATTGTAGCTGTTACCATTGTACAGTATAAAATTTGAGCTCATGTAACAAGTAGGGGTACACACGCACTTTGAAACTTTGTACTAGGCGATAACAACACAATTTGTCGATGTTCACTTATACACAAATATTATAAGGTAACATATTTACCGTCATTGGTTCTTTCATTGAGAGTCGAACTCAAGCAGACTAACACACACGTCTTTCTCTCTCATCAACGACCTTGAATTGAAGTGATGACACGATCTAGATCAAGTGGCTGCCATGGTTCCCGTGGCCTAAACATCAACAACAATGACAGTGCGGACATCGATGCCCGACAAAAAAACTCGGGCATGCAACCTCCGGGACCATCTCAACAGCAACCGCGAGGGTGACCTCTGAGAACAGCTTAACAACAACTGTGATGGTGACCTCCGTGACCAGTTCAACAACAATCGTGGTGGAGGGCAGCAAGAACCTAGAGCGCAGTACCACCTATATATCTCAAGGCGACGACCCATTTCATGCAGCAGGCAGCAGCGGCTCTAACCCAATTGGTTACAGGGATTCATGGTCAAGTGCCCCGATCATCCGCACAGAGGATGAAGTGATATTGCAACGACGAGAGAGGACCCGACGTCTATTCCGCGGTGCGATCCATGTTACCGACGGTCACCTTGAAACTCAACCTCACTCCAGGGGTAGAAAGGTGAAGGGCCAAAGGGAAGAAGTTCAAGTAGATGGCTCCGTCGGACATCGACCCACCGCTTCTATGCTTGTCTTGGAACGATTGGACGAGAGGGTGACTATCCGACATAGGTTAGGGCTACAACTAAGGACCGAGAGGTCATCTACCAAGGGACCGCACCAAGATGGAACTACGACAGTGGGTGACGGAGAGCGGTCGCCACAGTAAAAAAAAGGTGCGTGAGTCTGGTGGACCGGCTCTGCATTGGCCCACTGTGCATAAGCGAACCCCGACCATGCAGGAGGAAGTGGTAGAGTGGCTGCAAAAGAAAATATAGGAGCTAGCGAAGAAAATGGAGGCGAGGGAGCAGTCAGTTGAACCCGAGGTAAGGATGGCTGCATCATTTACTCCCTAGCTGACTCTGCTATGTACGCTCTCAACTCGATAGTAGGGGGGCCAGTGACAGGATAATTAGACAAAGTACTGGATCTGACCAGAAGCACATTGGGCCTACTCGTAGTAGTCAAAGCAATCAACACGGTCAGTTGGTAACAATCAAGAGTGAAGTAGGAAGAGGCAAGCAGTTACAGAGGATAGCACACAGCAATTACTGAGGAGCCTCGACACTTATGGAGGGGAGCCGTTGCACTAACCGTTACCATTGTACAGTATAAAAGCTTAGCTCATGTAACAAGGGGCACACTTTGAAACTTTGTACTAGGCGATAACAACACAATTTGTCTCTGTTCACTTATACACAAATATTATCTGATAACATATTTACTGTCAAACATACGATTTCATTTTTAATATGCTGCAAATTCATTTTAATTATATATATTAACAATTTATTTTTAGTAAATTTATTATATTTTGATACAAGTTCATTTTTAGTATTCTACCTAAAAATGAACATTTTATATATTAAAAATGAACTTATGTCAATACCCGTCCACGTTGCAATGTCTGAGTTTGGCAAATAGGCATTTTGTTGCCTTAGTAGTTGGAGCAACTTGAAGCTCAAAAGGCTAAATAGAGCAGTGATCTGATCATCAATTAGCCATGTTTCTTGCAAGGCAAGATGCGATAGAGAAAGAAATTTCATCTCTTTGTCAAGCTCTCTTCCGAAGCAAAAGGCATTTGGGCGTAACCAAAGACAAGTGCTTCGAAAAGACCAAGATATATATGGGTGTGTTTGGTTCGCACATAGGAATCAGAATCGGAATGGGTATCAAATACTTGGTAATGGTAATGGGTTTTGGTGAAAGTATTTAACATTGTTTGGTAGTAGGGTGGAATGGGAATGGTTACTAATAGTAGTGTTTGAGAATGAATAAGGAAATGAAACCCTTATTTTATTTGGGTATGAGTTTTTTCAATTGATGGGTATTCGAAACCCATAGTAGTGTTCTAAAAACCTATTAACTAAACAATAGCAATCACTTTCATACCCATTCCTATGAGCAAAACCCATCAACCAAACACACCCTAAGTTGGAACGCATGAATAGCGAACTTGACCTTCTTGCATTGCATGGACAACAAGCTTGACCTCCTTGGTGGATGGTAATGCAAAAAAAAGTGCAGAAAGTGAGCTGCAAATTTAAAAACAAAAAAAAAAACAAAAAAAAAAACAAAAGAAAAAATCTGGAAGCAAAAGGAGTGGACCTCTAGAGTAGGAAGAAGCGGTCAAGAACTTAGGGTCCGTTTGAAAAGCAGGAAACTGACTTCTGAAAAATGAGTCATTTTTCGGAAAATATTTTCTTTTTTCAGTGTTTGGTTGCATTTGGAAAATTGTTTTGGTGTGTTTGGTTCATTTTTTAGAAAATGAGTAGAATTGTATAATTAAATATTTTAATTATTTTATTTAGAATAAAAAATACATTTTAAATGTTAAAAAAAATTAATTAATTCTGGGTTCCGCCGGAAACCATAGCAATGGTTTCTGGCGGAACCCAGTTCCGCCAGAAGCTAAAAAAAAAAAAAAAATGAAATTGCAAATGGCGGAAAATGACTTCTGCCAAAATTTGGCGGAAGTCATTTTCCGCCAAATTGAGCACATTTTTCCCAGTCAACGGAAAATAAATTCCGTTGACTGAATTTTTCAAGTGTAGCCAAACACCAAAAATCCGAAAAATAATTTCTAGAAATTATTTTTCAGATTTCCAAACACAACCTTAGAGGAAGAGTTCAACCACTTCTTCTAGAAGATATATAAAAAGGTTTAAAGAGAGGTCAAGCTCTCATGGACATGGTAGCTGACACGTACTCAAGTAGCTCAAGTCAAAGTATTAAGAATGTCAAAGCTGAATTAAAAGAAGTGGTAGAGGTTCCAATGAGTGGATGTCTAGAAGGGCTAGGCCATCCCAGTAGAGCCTTCCAACAGCTCTTTCATGCCCAGATCTTTGAACCAATCGAGAATATAATTGATAAGTGAGTGGATGATCTTCAAGGATCTATCCTCTTCATTACTCAAGCTAAAATGGTCCAAACAAAGAATGAACTGCAATAACTCAAAGATGAAGAAGAGTTGGTAGCAATAACTGTTTTTTTTTTTTTTTTTTTTTTTTTTAACTTAGATGATCCCAACTGTTGAGTTTGTCTCATATATGAATTAGGAATATGATCTTGTCTCATACTAGAAGTAGGAATGAAACGGGTAGACCTTTTGTACAGGGATTAAATGCCTATAAATATATTGGTTGTATCCCTAAAGGGTTGTGTCACCACTATCACCATCACTATGAATAAGAGTATTGTTTCACTCCCGTGGATGTAGGCACTTTGCCGAACCACGTAAATCTTGTCTTCTTTACCTTTTCTGCCATTGTTATTTTTCTTGTTCTTATTAATCTCAACAAATTGGTATCAGAGCATAGTTGAGATGGCCAGTTCAAGTACAAAATTCGAGTTATCAAAGTTTGATGGTATAGGGAATTTTGGGTTATGGCAATCTAGGGTAAAGGATTCGTTGGCACAACATGGTCTTCTGAAAACTTTGAAGGCGGAAAAGCCAGCTAATCTGGAAGAGGCTGATTGGAAGGAGTTGAAGAAGCAGGAAGCTATGAACGTGGTTCAAGCTGATGATTCTTATTATAGTGAAGGTGATGTTCTAGCGGTAACTAGTAACAAGTTTGAACATTGTTTGGACTTGTTGGGTGTTTCTAGATGCTAGATGAGAAGATGGTGAGGGGCGCTGTAGTGTTGGGCAGCGCGGATACCAGGAGGGGTCGTGGCTTGGTATCGGTATGGGCTTATATGGACTCGGTATGTGCTGGTATGGCACTGGTTATGGCTGATATAAGCTCGGTATTGGTATGGGCTTATATGGGCTTAGTAATCGGTATGTGCTGGTATGGCACTGGTTAGGGCCGATATAGGCTCGGTATGAATATGGGTCAATATGGTATCAATATGGGTCAATATTGGCTCGGTATAGGCCGAATTTGTCATGAGTCACGGTTGGTACGGGTTAGGCTTGTCATGAGACATGGACCTGGTATGAGTCGGGCTTGGCATGAGTCACGACGGGTACGGGTTGGGCTTGTCATAAGACATGGACCTGGTATGGGCCGGGTATGGCATGAGTCACGGCTGGTACGGGCGGACGCTTTGGGATGAAGCGGTTCGTGAACATGCACTGGGAACGTTTGATGCTGCGTGGTGCGTGTTGCTGGCCAGTGGTAATTGCTGGTTAGTGGAGCATTGGGCAAAGCACACGGGTTTAGTGTGACTTTGCAGGGGCGCTGTTGTGTTGGAGGCAGCGTGGATACCAGGAGGGGACATGGACCTGGTATGGGCGGACTCTTCAAGATGAAGAGGTTTGTGAACATGCACTGGGAACGTTTGATGCTGCGTGGTGCGTGTTGCTAACTAGTGGCAATTGCTGGTTAGTGGAGCATTGGGCAAGACACACGGGTTTAGTGTGACTTTGCATGTGCGCTGTTGTGTTAGGGGCAGCGTGGATACCAGGAGGGGACATGGACCTGGTATGAGCCAGATGCAGGAGGTCAGCTGAACGAGACAGTTAGCATGAGTCGTGGCGGTATAACAGGTTGACGGCTGAGGGGCGAATGACTTGGAACAAAGCAATTCGTGTACATGCACTGGGTAACGTTTGACGCTGCATATGCGTGTGGCTGGCTAGTTGGGATGAGCATGGTTGTTCCTACCCATGTGTATATGTGAGATAAATATTTTTCTCCTAAAGGGCATATATGTGAAGGTGGATATGGTGAGATAAGTCTTTTCTCCTAAAGAGCGTATTCGTCAAGGTGGAGATTTGTTGAGTTATCTTTTCTCCTAAAGAGCATATTCGCCAAGGTGGAGATTGTTGAGTTTGTCTCATATATGAATTAGGAATATGAGTTTGTCTCATACTAGAAGTAGGAGTGAAACGGGTAGACCTTTTGTACCGGGATTAGATGCCTATAAATATATTGGTTGTATCCCTAAAGGGTTGTGTCACCACTATCACCATCACTATGAATAAGAGTATTGTTTCACTCCCGTGGATGTAGACACTTTGCCGAACCACGTAAATCTTGTCTTCTTTACCTTTTCTGCCATTGTTATTTTTCTTGTTCTTATTAATCTCAACACCAACTTTATCAGACTAATGCTAAGCCCACAGAACTTCGGTCCCAGAACCTCTAAGAATGTAAATTATGAGTCACGCAATCAGAGTTGAATTTGACGTTGGGAGGGCAAGGCATAGGCGTATTCACTGGCGGAGGCACAATGGGGGCAGTGGGGGCAGCTGCCCCCACTGCCCTACCCCATATAAATTGTATATATACTTAATATACCAAGATTTAAACAAAGTTTGGGTTAGCTTAGATGGTATGACCATTGTTTTACCTCTCATTGAATGAAAGGTCAGCAGTTCGAAACTTGTTGTTGCTTCCTTTTTCCCATCTACTAATTAATATTCTAATATCCACTTAGTTACCATTTGTGTTTTTTTTTCCCTTTTTTTCTATCTACTAATATTAATAGTATTTATATTAATATTCTAATATCCACTTAGTTACCATTTGTGTTTTTTTTTTCCTTTTTTTCTATCTACTAATATTAATAGTATTTATTGCCCTTTGTAATTATGTTTAGTTGTCATTTGTTTTTCACTATTTATGCATTCTATTTAGTTGCCATTTGTTTTTCATTATAGTTGTCATTTGTTTTTCACTACTTATGCATTCCATTTGTACTGATGTAGTTGTTTAATGGTTATGTTAATTATTAAGTATGAATATATTTGCTGGAAATTCGTTAATGTTAGTTGGCGTAGTTGTGTATTTGAATGTTAGTTATGTAGTTGTTTAACAATTTTATTCGTATTTGATATTTTGTACGTATTTTGTATTTGAACATTTTTTAATTCATTTTACCTTTGTTTTTCGCTCCCACTCAACACAAATCCTAGCTCCGCCACTGGGCGTATTTGTAATAGCAGTCTTATACGGTAACTCGTTAATGTAACTAATTAGGTTATTATTTAAAATGATTTATAATTATTCATTTTAGAGTTGAATTTACATAAATACAGGAATAAATGTGTCTGGGTTTATATATTAAGCAGTATAGCATTGAATGTGTACCTCCAATGTTGTTAGATTGAATGTGTAGGGTTTGAAGCATAGTTAAATTCCCAAGTTCCTTTGGCATATGTCCTGAGAGAAGGAAAACAATGCTTTGTAGTGAGGACAAATTTAATTAGGAAGGCAATTGTTTTTATCATATGACTTAACAAAGAGGTACGTACCAGAGAGACTGTTGTAATATAAATTAAGATAACTTAACAATGACAAAGCCTGTATCTCCTTTGGAATAACACCTGTAAATTATTTTCATATTAATAAACAACCTATTACTTAATAAATGGGCGAATTAAAAGAGAAGTCAATGACCTATACTAAAGCCCCGCGATTATTATATGTAGACTATGGTCCAAATTAATTACAAGGTAGATCATTGACATACAACTTTATATTTAGTATGCTGTAAATTCATTTTAACAATTTTAAAATTTTATTTCCAAAAAAATTATTATATTTTGATATAAATCACTTTTAATATTATATTCTACATAAAAATAACATTTAATATATTAAAAATAAACTTATGTCAGTTATGTGAGGCTCGGTCCACCTTGCAATGTCTTTCGTACTAAGCTTGGCAAATAGGCATTTTGTGGCCTTAGTAGTTGAAAATTGAAATCTGTATTTTGATGCTAGAGATGTTGAAGACAAGAAGCTCAAAAGGCTAAGTAGAGAAACGAACGTCAATTAGGGTCCGTTTGTAAAGCAGGAAAATGACCTCTGAAAATGTTTTTCGAAAAATGAATCATTTTTCGAAAAACATTTTTTTTTTTTTGTGTTTGGCAACACAACAGAAAACTGTATTTGTGTGTTTGATTCATTTTTTTTAAAAATGAGGTAGAATGGTATAATTAAACATTTTATATAATTAATTATTTTGTTTAAAATATAAAAAATATTTATTTTTTAAAAATCAAATAATATTATTATTTATTTTTTAAAAAGTTTTTTTTTTAAAAAAAAAAAAAAAAAAAAGAGGGAGAGACAGCGGAAACCAGAGAGCACTGCTCTCTGCCTCTCTCTGGTTTCTGGCCGGAAACCAGAGAGAAGCTTTCTTCTGGTTTCCGGCTGAAAACCAGAGAGCACTGCTTTCTTGACTAATGCCCATTTTCCTTTGACTTATCTTTTCCTTGCATAGCCAAACACCAAAAATCCGGAAAATGATTTCCAGAAATTATTTTCCGGGTTTCTAAACACACCCTGAGTTATGTTGCTTTCAAGTTGGAAGGCAAGATGCGATAGAGAAATATATTGCATCTATACGTCAAGCTTTCTTCGAAAGCAAAAGGCATGTCATGGGCAAATTATTGGTCCACACAATATTATGTGGATCATAACAAAAAGTACATTATTAATATACAAAATGTACATTATTTTTTTACTGAACATACATTATACAATATAATGTACACTCAGTACACAAATAATGTACATTATCTGAATACAATGTATATTTTTTAATATATTAAAAATACACTATTTTTATACTGAATATACAATATTTTACAATATACAAAATATGGTCAACACAATAATGATTGCATTTCACCGCAACCATAGATAATGGGAAAAATAATCAAACCGCAAGTGTAATAAAAAATTAGTAATAGTAATAGGGGAATTTGTATTGGCATGCGCTTGACTTTATTGGTTATTTTGTGTCTTATTGTTTATTGTCTCAGCAGCAAAGAAAAAGGTATACTTATAACTAAACTTAATACTCAATTTGGTCCATTGACTATTAGGATTGTACTAATTTAGTCTTCGACTACTCAAGATGCTCAATTTAGTTTTTAGCTATACAATTTTTACTTAAAATTCATCCTTATTAAGATTTCACCATTTTGGTCCTCAACTACCAAGGTTGCTGAGTTTAGCTCCCAACTATGCAATTTTTACATTAAATGGTCCATCGACTATTAGGATTTCACCACTTTGATCCTCGACTATTAGAATTTCACCACTTTAATTTGGTCCCTGACTCTCCAAAAAGGTTTCCAAATCCATACTAAACTTACATTTCAGGTTAACATTTTCATAGTTGGGGACTAAATTGAACAACTTTGGTAGTCGATGACAAAAGTGGTGAAATCCTAATAGTCGATGGACCATTTTGGAAAAAAATTGCATAGTTAGGGATTAAATTGAGAAACTTTGGTAGTCAAGGATCAAAGTGATAAAATCTTAATAGTCGAGAGACTATTTTAAATACAAAATTATTGCATAGTTAGGGCTTAAATTGAGCAACTTTGGTAGTCCAAGATCAAATTGGTGAAATCCTAATAATCGAGGATCAAATTGAGTATTAACTCCTTATTAGTATGATCCTCAATACTGTAACAAAAGTTCACCTTACACATACAGTTTTAACATTATTAGCTTTATGCATACCTATTAATTGATTGTTATGAAGATATTCCATCTTAGGTTTTGGCCTTTGGGAAGGTGTGAAATTTTTTTGGTACATGCCAATTAAAATTGTCGTAAGATAAATATATAGTTTTAAGCAATAAACATTTATACAAATTTGACGTAATTTCAACACTAAATTTTTTTCCTAGGTATATTAAAATTTTGGAGTTTAGGGAGATGATTTCCAAAATGAAGAGAAAATTCACCAATTAAGTTATTAACTAAAAGAGATAGAATTTTTAACTTAGATAAGTTTAAAATGTTCAAAAGGAGAAGACTCATTAAAATAATTATAACTCAACTATTTTAGTTGGCAAATTATATCGTGCATAAGGGTGTACAATGCTTTGTGCGACCTGAGAGTGTATGTGTATTATGTTAAGAGTTTATATATATATTATGTTAAAAGTTTATGTGTATTATGTTAAGCGTTCATGTGTATTACGTTAAAAGTTTATGTGTATTATGTATTATGTTAATATTATGTATATTATATTAGGAGTTTATGTATATTCTATTAAATAATTATGTACACACGAAACAAGAGATTTTTAAGATGCACAATGGATTGTGGGCCCTGTTGCACGATATAACAACTGATTTAATTAGGTGGTATCTAAATTTTGTATAAAAATACCATAAAGTATGCTGTTTGATAAATCAAGTGTGTTCAAGGATGACAAAGCCCCTATCTCCCTTGGAATAGCACCTACAAATGATTTACATATCAATAAACAAAATATTAGTAGATAGGAGAGAAATCAATTCATCTATATATTATAAACTTGTCCCACGAATATGAATAACACTACCATTATTCATTTTTCACTTATATATTAGCTATTAGCTACCATTATATTATTAATAGAAATATGTAAAACGGGTAAACTTGTATGCTTATCAATTTAATTTTTATAGACACATCTTCAGATTAATCTAAGTTCGGAAATCCGTATTAACTCATTAAATTATATATGTTGTTTATTACAAACTTACAAAAAATTATAATATCGAAAAAGGTAAAATAACATTTTTAGTACATTAATTTTTACCATGTCGTGTCAGTATAATCTCTTAGTTATTTTGAATGAAACAGAATGGGTCATGTATAATCTCTGAGTTATTTTGAAAGAAATGGAATGGATCACCCAATAACATTATTTTGACAGTATTTGATTTATAGATATAAAGAGGTATAAGTCAATTCGTTATTATTATTTTTTTTTTTTGAATGCTCAATTCGTTATTATTTAAATAAAGATAATGTAAATATAGCAAAGCAAAAATTTCCTTTGGAATTACACCTGAATAAGATTTTCGTATTCATTAATAAACATGTGTTACACAATGATTCATTTGTAGTGTGTATTTAACCTCTCAAGTGGTCTTCATTGTATTATTGTGTCTAGTGCAATCCTCCTTGGACTTGAAGGAGAAGAGTAGACCTAGGATGAGTTTTGGTCGAACCACTTCAAAAATCTCTCTCTTTTTACTAATCGCACTTTACCTTCCGTTTATAAACCAACTAAATCTAAAGTTATAAAAGATCAAATACGTAAAAACAAAATTAAAAGGGGTAAAAATATATTTTCTGATGCGTACTCTAAATTGTTACAAGGTTCAAGATAACTTGAGCTAAGGAATTACTTGCAAAAAGATTTCAAAATAGTATTCGATCAAGTTTATTCACTCCCCTCCTCCCTCCCCATCCCTCTCTAGACTTAAGCTCCTTACTCATCGAGACCAACACCAAAGAGTAAAATTTTCTTATATAAAAGAATAACAAAGTTCCTACGAAACTTAAAATAATATATGCAACTCCACAACACTAATATATTGTTTAAGCTTTCAGTAGTTATGTAAGCACTTAAAATTTAACAATTTACTACTCAAATTTCCTATAAATGGAAGATTTTTGGGAATTGTAATTGAGAAGACTTGAGATAAAACATTATGAAAGCTGTTTTGACTCAATGTAAGCAAAACAAAAAGTTGTAGAACTTTCAAATCTGTAATCAATTGTCCGATATATGATATTCAGATTGGAAGGTACAAAGAGTTTACTAAATTGTGGCAGTAGCCACAAATGGCTCCAATCCAAATATAAGGATATATACTTTTAATTGACCAATTAGGAGCTATAAAGATTAGAAGAAAATTTTAATTTTGGGGTATTGAAAGAAAGACATACTTAATTAGTTAATTATTGTGCTCTTTCAGATTGTAGTTGTGAACATTCTCGTCAATAAAAAAAAAAAAAAATTATTTTACCCATTAAGCTACCACTATTATTTATTATTTAGCAACATAGCACTGAACATACCTCCTAAATTGTTGTCACTAAAACTTAGCATCTTGAGTGCAGTTAAGTTCCCAATTTCCTTTGGTATGGCACCTGAATGAAGCAAAGGCAAAACATTTATTAGTTAGTAAAAAATTAGCAAGGAAATATACTATTTATTTTTATAGTAATATTTTGGAAATAAACGGAAGGGGTGACTCAATCAAATTATTTTGAGAGTATTTGATTTGCAGATATAGAGGTATAAGATAATTCTTTATTATTAAATAAATTAAAGATAGCATAAAGATGGCTAAGCACGAATCCCTTTAGGAATTACGGCTGAATATGATTTTCCTGTTAATTAATTAATAAACATGTGTTAATATGTAAATGGAGAAAATTATATGCTAGACTTTGATTATGAGATATAAGTAAATAAAGATAAGAGCTAGAAAATATCCTGAAAAAAATAATCAAACCGCAAGAGCAATGAAAATAGTAGTAGTAATATGAAAGTTTGTATACGAATACGCTTGACTTTGTGGTTTATTTTGTGCCTTATTATTTATTTGCCTCAAACAAAGAAAAAGGTAAACCTATAAGTATGATCCTCAATATTGTAACAAAGTTCACATAATCACATTACACATAAAATTATAACATTAGCTTTAATTTATGCATACCTATTAATTGATTGTGATAACGATACAACATCTTAAGTTTTGGGAAGTTGTGAAATTCTTTTGGTACAGGCCAATTAAAATTATAGTAAGGTAGAGATATAGTTTGAAGCGATAAACATTAATACAAATTTAACGTAATTTCAACACTAAACTTTTCTCCTAAGTATATTAAAATTTTGGAGTATAGGAAGATGATTTCAAAATGAAGAGGAAATTCACCAATTAACTTATATTAACTAAAAGAGATATATAGAGTTTTCAACTTTGACAAGTTTAAAATGTTCAAAGGAGAAGACCTATTAAAATAATTATAATAACTCAGCTATTTTAATTACGGAGTATCTAAATTTTGTATAAAAGTACCATAAAGTTTGTTGTTAGATAAATCAACTATGCGCAAGGATGACAAAGCCCCTATCTCCCTTGGAATAGCACCTACAAATGATTTACGTACATATGAATAAACAAAATATTAGTAAATAGGGGAGATAAATCAATTTGATGTCTATATATTATGAAACTGTACCACGAATATAAATAAACCTACAATTATTCATTTCGCACTTATATATTAGTTATTAGTTACCATTAGTAGTAGAAATATGTAAAATGGGTAAAATTGTACGCTTATCAATTTAATTTATATAGACTCATCTTCAAATTTAATGTAAGTTTCGAAATCTGAATTAACTAATTAAATAATGCTGTTTATTACAAATTTACAAAAAGTATAATATAGAAAAAAGTAAAATAGCTCTTTTAGTAAATTAATTTTTATCATGGTGTCAGACTGTCAGTATAATCTCTGAGTTATTTTGAAAGAAACGGAATGGATAACCCAATAACATTATTTTAATAGTATTTGATTTATAGATATAAAGGTGTATAAGAGCATCTACATCAGAGGAGAAATAGGGGAGAATTTACTACTTTTGAGGCCAAAATGTCATGGTGGCAGAGAGAGAATCAAGAGAAAGAAGGGGTGAGGAGCATCTGCAAATGTTGAGATATTACTCTGTCCAAGAAAAATAATTAATGATGGAGGATAAAGAACCAATAGAGAAATGACATGTTTATTTTTTATATATTTTTTTTTTATAAAATCAGTTTTAATTTTTTTTTCCCTCCCCTCCCACATTATTCTCTTTCCTACTCACTCTTACATTCTCCCCCTAATAACCCCAACTGATAAGGATGCTCTAAGTTAATTCGTTATTATTTAAATAAAGATAATGTAAATATAGCGAAGCACAAATTCCTTTTGGAATTACACTTGAATATGATTTTCGTATTAATTAATAAGCATGTGTTATACAAAAGTAATAAATTCAGTGACTTATTGAACACTTATTTATTTAGTGATCTATTTCACATTTGTCCCTTTGTAGTGTGGATTCAATCTTTTAAGTGGTTTTCATTGTACTATTGTGTCTAGTGCAATCCTCCTTGGACTTGAAGGAGAAGAGCGGACATAGGCTGAGTTTTAACTGAACCACTTCAAAAATCTCTCTCTCTTTTTATTTATCGCACTTTACATTCCTTCTATAAACCAACTAAACCTAAAGTTATAAAAGATCAAACACATGCAAACAAAATAAGAAGGGGTAAAAATATATTTTCTGATGCATACTCTAAATTGTTATAAGGTTCAAGTTTACTTGAGCTAAGGAATTAGTTATTAGTTGCAAAAAGTTTTTAAAATTGTATTCAAGTCTATTCAACCCCTTCCGCTACACCCTACCCCTCTAGACTTGAACTTCTTACCCATCGAGACCAACACCAAAGAGTAAACTTTTCTTATATAAAAGAATAACAAAGTTCCTACTTCCTACCAAGCTTAAAATCAGCGGCGAACCCAGAAAATCATCTGAGTGAGGGCGAATATTAAATGACATTAGAAATGTCAATGACAAAATATCAAACAACCATTAATAAGGTTAAAATACAAAATAATTATAAAATACAATATATTTATGAGAAAATATAAAACATAATCAATTAGATAAAAGAATTTGAATAACAATATATTCATAAATACTTTTAAATTTTAATTTCTTTCAGTTAGATCGATTTTTCTAAATTAATTCAAATACAATAAAGTATATTATAAACTTGTATACTATATTAATTAAATTATTTATAAAAACTAGACTAAAAGAGCATTTAATTTGTTAATTAAATGATTCATAAAAAGTAGACTAAAAATATTTAATTTATCTTGTGAATAGATGAAAGAGAGAAGATAATTAAAAGTGTTGCTAATGAGACTTGAACCTATGAATAAGCCTTTTATAACATAAAATTTGAAGTTCAACCAACTAAGCTATATATTCAAACTATTGATATTTTTAACATAAATATAGATTTTATATAATATTTCATGCTAACATATACATACATATATATAAAGGGGTGGAGTGGGAGGAGTGGGGGCAGCTGCCCCCACACTGGGTCCGCCCATGCTTAAAATAATATATGCAACTCTACAACACAAATATACTGTTTAAGCTTTCGGTAGCTATGTAAACACTTAAAATTTAACAATTTACTACACAAATTTTCAATAAACGGAAGATTTTTGGGCATTATAATTGAGAAGGCTTTCGATATAAAAAATTATTATGCAAGCTGTTTTGACTCAATGTAAGTAAAACAAAAAAATTGTAGATCTTTCGAATCTGTAATCAATTGTCCAATGATATTCAGATTCTAAAGGTACAAAGAGTTTACTCAATTGTGTCGGTAGCGACAAATGACTCCAATCCAAATATAGCGATATATCTTTTTAATAATTGACCGATTGCGAGCTACAAAGGTTAGAAGAAAATTTGATTTCCCGAGAATTGAAAGAAAGGCATACTTAATTAGTTAATTATTGTGCTCGTAAATTAAAAAATATTTATATTGCCCACTATTATTTATTATTTAACAACATAGCACTGAACATACCTCCTAAGTTGTTGTCATCAAATGATAGCATCTTAAGTGCAGTTAAGTTCCCAATTTCCTTTGGTATGGCACCTGAATGTAGCAAAGGCAATACATTTATTAGTTAGAAAAAAATTAGCAAGGAAATATACTATTTATTTTTATAGTAATATTTTGGAAAGAAACTGAAGGGGTGACTCAATAAAATTATTTTGATAGTATTTGATTTGCTGATATAAAAAGGTATAAGACAGTTCGTTATTATTTATGATGGATTTGGTCACATATGAAGAGCAAATGAGCGAAAGTAGAGAGAAGATGAAAATGGTGAACATTCTGATTATGGTGGTGAAAACTTCATCTGTTATAGAGATGATAACAACCTATATATAGATGTGTTGGAAGGATAGTTCCAACAACTAACAGAATGCTACTAACAATTATTTTCATGCTCTAACAATTTAAATAAATTAAAGATAGCGTGAAGATAGCTATGCACGAATCCCTTCAAAAATTACGGCTGAATATGATCTTCCTATTAATTAATTAATAAACATGTGTTTAATGTAAATGGAGAAAAATGTATGCTAGTCCTTGATTATGAGATATAAGTAAATAAAGTTAAGAGCTAGAAAATATCTTTAAAAAAAATAATCAAACGGCAAGAGCAATAAAGATTAGTAGTAGTAATAGGAAAGTTTGTATACGAATACGCTTGACATTATGATTTATTTTGTGCCTTATTATTTATTTGTCTCAAACAAAGAAAAAGGTACACACATAAGTATGATCTTCAATATTGTAACAAAGTTCATGACATAATCACTGATGTTATCACATCTTTGCTTGTTATTATAGTTATTTTGAATCATCTCGGTATTTAAGTTCTTTAATTTTGCTTATTTAATACATATTTTCCTTGCTATTATCATTTAATTATGGTTCACACTTGTTTTGCATGTTTTACGGTGTTTGTTAGTGTTTCTGAACCATTTTAGGTCAAAGATATGAGTAAGGGGAGTTCAAGGATGAGTTTGGAACAATTTTGGACAAGTTCGGGACCCAGAGGACTCGACGCGTCGAAAATTTCCAGTAGCATCACAAAACTGAGCCAAAGAGGCTCGACGCGCGTCGAGAAGGACGCACGCTAATTACGAAGATTCAAACTGTGCGAATAAATTAAAGGCGCTGAATTAAAGAATGGGGCGTTGACTTCCATGCAACCTAATACAACATTTATATTCCTAAGGTGGCGCAAGTCTCAAAGCTACAAGATTTCATTCTTTAATATAATTTGGTAACATGTTTCCTCATTAAAATGGCGACAATTTCTAAATTAAATCATTTGAGCCCAATTTTGTACAAGATTCCTATTTCATCTCAACTTTGTACCCACTATAAAATCCCCCCTTCCTCAACCCTAATGAGACCGAGACCGAGAGATTTTGAGAGTTCTTTGTAGACAAGAAAGGGAGAAATCGAGAGGCTCAAGTCGTCTTTGGAAGCAAGGAGGAAGCCAGGGAGATTTGGGAGAATCGCTTGGTTAATTCTTGTACTCTTCTGATGATTTGTAATCCTTTATTCATATTTGCTATGTATAATTTAGCCATGCTCGGCTAAATTCCTTAGGGATTTTTGGGTGAATTTGTTTATGAACCTATGTGCCTAGTTCGTTAATTTCTTAATATATTTATGTTTGGTTTTATGATTTGTGTTACAATCTTGTTTTAATCTGTTGTTGTTGGTGGTTAAAGGCCTAAATTACTAGCTTCACAGCCATGTTTGTGTCACCAATGGGAATTGGGGCATAAATTAGGGCACACACGATTGCACCTAATGGTTGGTCCTTGGGAAAGGGGAACTTATTAGGGGAAGTTTATTCTAGATTATTTCTCATCGGGAGATGGTAGTAATTAGGAATAATTGAATGCTGATCTTTGATTTTATTGGGTGTTTAAGCCATGGGAGTGGAAATTCACTAGGAATAGAGATTACGGGAGTAATTCGATTCCACTTTGCATTCCCATACAAATCTTAATTCCAAACCAAATATTACAAACGTTAATTGGCACTAGGTGATTAAACATTATGATCCCAAGAATCCTATTTTGCTCTATTGTCTACAAAACCTTACTACTTATTTTATTCTGCTTGTTATTTTATGCAATCAATCAATCTTCAAGTTTTGTTCGGACTAGTTTCATATGAGTAACCTAGTAGCTAGTGATTAGTACACCACCTCTCTGTGGTTCGACAACCCGAATACTCCGGGTATTATTTGTTTGCCCCAAATTACAGCAATCAATCACATTACACATAAAGTTATAACATTAGCTTTATGCATACTTGTTAATTGATTGTTATGAAGATACAACATCTAAAGTTTTGGGAAGTTGTGAAATTCTTTTGATACATGCCAATTAAAATTATGGTAAGGTAGAGATATAGTTTGAAGCGATAAATATTAATACAAATTTGACGTAATTTCAACACTAAACTTTTCTCCCAAGTATATTAAAATTTTGGAGTATAGGAAGATGACTTCAAAATGAAGAGGAAATTCACCAATTAACTTATATTAACTAAAAGAGATATATAGAGTTTTCAACTTTGACAAGTTTAAAATGTTCAAAGGAGAAGACCCATTAAACTAATTATAATAACTCAGCTATTTTAATTACGGAGTATCTAAATTTTGTATAAAAGTACCATAAAGTTTGTTGTTAGATAAATCAACTATGAGCAAGGATGACAAAGCCCCTATCTCCCTTGGAATAGCACCTACAAATGATTTACGTACATATGAATAAACAAAATATTAGTAAATAGGGGAGATAAATCAATTTGTCTATATATTATGAACCTGTACCACAAATATAAATAAAACTACCATTATTCATTTCGCACTTAAATATTAGTTACCATTAGTAGTAGAAATATGTAAAATGGGTAAAATTGTACGCTTATCAATTTAATTTATATAGACTCTTCTTCAAATTATACTACTAGAAATTATGAGTGTATATTGTTCAATGAAACTGTAGTTATATGGAAATGATACTGTAGTTATGTTGTAATGAAACTATAGTGTATATAAAATAAAATTGAATAACGTACAGTTTCACATATTTGAGTGTATAATGTCAAATGAAACTGTAGTTATATCAAAATGAAACTGTAGTTGTGTTGAAATGAAACTGCAGTGTATATAAAATGAAACTGAATATGTTATACAAACAGAGCTACTTTACACGGAACGACGCGAAACGGTGCCGTTTCTTTCATTAAAAGAAACGACACCATTTGGACCATGGTCCACGGTATAATTTTCCACCCGCTCCCTTTCAATTTTTTCTCACAAAGAAAGGGAAAACAGGTGGCGGGCAATTTATATCATGAACCAGGGCCCACATAGCATTATGGGTCTTGAATCGAAACGACGAAGTATAAAATTCATATTTGTAAGGTACATATATAATTTCATAACACAAGACACAAAAATTATAAGGCCATCTCCAACCTTGTCGCCAAATCACCAAATCGGCAGCAGATTTGGCGTGGAACCATCTCCAACCTTGTCGCCAAATCACCAAAAAAATGGCTCAAGGTGAACAGTGCAGCGCCATATTTGGCGTTGCACTGTTCATCCGCACCAAATCTGGTGAATTTTTTGTTTTTCTGATTTTGACCCCTACTTTATTTGTAATTCATTTTATATCCTTAGATTAGTTTTAATAGATTTGTATATTTTGTTAAATTGTTAAATATAAAATTTATATTATTAAAAATAAGTTATATCATTTGAAAGATCTCAAGACGATTAAAACAAATCTAATATTGAACATATATTAATTAAAAATAAAAACACATAAAGCTTAATTATAACAAAATTAAAGCAAATTAAATTTAAAATTACATTTATTATTGTGGAATAAAATAATATTTGCATTATAATTATATTGTATCCTTTTTTATTTTTATATATTTCAATATTTTGTTAAATATTTAAACATAAATTTTATATTATTAAAATGAAATTATATCATTTGAAAGATCTTATCAAGACGATTAAAACAACTAATATTAAATATAATTTAATTAAAAATAAAATTACATAAAATATAATTAAAGTTTAATTTATTAAATTATAACTATTAGTACAGTTTTGTTAAAATAATAAAAGTATAAATATAAACTTTTAATTTATGAGAATATACATTATTTTAGTGTAGGAATAAAATTTGGTGTAGAATTTGATGTAATGGGTTGGAGATGAAAAAAATTTGGTGTAGGAATATGCTGAGAATATTCCTTTTGGTGTAAAATTTGGTTCAGATGGTTGGAGATGGTCTAACACTAGACATATACACATGAGTTAATTCCAGCAATGGTCCTCTGACTATATTGATTTTCCAAAATTAGTCCTTGACTTTTAATTTGGACACTTTAGGTCCCTTGACTTTCAATTTCTTTCCAATTGAGGTCCTTTCGTCAGAATACGGTTAATTGAATTTTAAATGAAGGGGTAAACTCATCATTTCACTTGCCTATGTATTATTCTTAGTATTTCTCCATTGTATACGCGATATATATGAAGATAATCTTAGTCGAAACCCTAAAATGTTCCTCGTCGTTCCCCATTTGCTGACAACTCGTGTGTGCGTTTCTCTATTATTGAGATGTTTACAAGGTATAACCGCGAAATACGAAGGGAGAAATACGAAGAATAATACATAGGCAGGTGAAAGGACGAGTTTATCCCTTCATTTAAAGTCTAATGAACCGTATTCTAACGAAAGGACCTCAATTGGAAAGAAATTGAAAATCAATGGATCTAAAATATCCAAATTAAAAGTCGATGACTAATTTTGGAAAATCAATATAGTCGGAGGACCATTGTTGGAATTAACTCTATACACATGTTATAATTATATATTTACTTATTTTTTAAATATGACTTAAGTACATAATTTGTATTCATACACACTGAATTTCATAACACAAGACACAAAAATTTATAACATAAGACACAATTACTAATTATTTTCAAGTATAGAATTTATACTCTTAAGATACAAAATTTTATAACACAAAACATAAAAACTCATAACATAAAACACATATATATTGACCATGGTCCATAGTGTACTGTGAAGCTTTGGTCCATAGTATAAGGATTGCAGAAGACGTACCAAGGATCAGGAAGAAAAGAATATAATGGAAAGGAACATTTCAAATAAACGCTGTGACAACAATAATAATTATTAATAGCCAAAATGTGTCTAGCATTCTACCTTTCTGCTAATTGTCTCAAACAAAGCGAAGGGTATAAATATAAGTATTGGGCAGTGGGCACAATACTGTAACAAAATTTCATATTACATATGAAGTAGTCTTTACACATACCTGTTAACTGATTGCTACGAAGAAATAACTTCTCAAGCTTTGTTAAGTTTCCAAATTCTCTTGGTACATGCCCACTAAAATTATTGAAAGGTAGAGATAGAGTTTGAAGCAATGAACATTTAGATAAACTTGATGGGATTTCACCACTAAATTTATTTGATCTCATGACAAATATTTGGAGTTTAGGAAGATGATTCCCAAGATCAAGAGGAAGTTCACCAAATAAGCTATTAACTGAAAGAGACAGATTTTCTAACTTAGACAAATTTAAGATGTCCAAAGGAAAAGATCCACTAAAATGATTATCGCTCAAATTTAACAACTTTAGTTGGAAAAGATTGCCTATTTCTCTAGGAATACTCCCTTCAAGAGAATTAACTCCTAAATGTAAGACCTCAAGTTTTGAAAGATTAAAAAGGGATGTGGGAAGAAAACCACTAATGTTATTATTCCCCAAATACAAAAATCTAAGGTTTTGTAAGAGACCAAACCAAGATGGAATATTCCCACTAAAGTCATTGAAGCTACACTGAAGAATTTTGAGGCGTCGCAGTTGAGAAAGCTCTCGAGGAAAGGAATTGTGAAAATTGTTTTGGCTCAAGTTAAGTGAAACAAGGAAAGAAAGGTTTCCCAAGTCTGGAGTTAATTCTCCAACAAGACCCATATTGAAAAGATTTAAAGCAGACACTCTATTGTGACGAGAGTTGCAAGTGACTCCAATCCAGTTACACGGAGTTATGCTATTAACCGACCAATTGTCAGCTAAAATGCTATGAGGATCAAAAGAAATTTTAGATTTTAGAGAAAGAAGGGCATGTTTGTCGGTGGTAATGTTGGTATGGGCATTAATGGTTAAGCAAAGCATTAGAGAGTGGAAGAAGAAGATGGATAAGCAGAAATAATGGCGAGTGATCTCCATTGAATGACACATTAACCTATTATAAGCAAGTTTTCAGCTTTGATAAAAATGATGATATTGTAGCTGAGTGCTTTTATATAGCCATACTGGCCTGGTGGAGGGAAATTTCTCAAACCCAAATTGCAGTTGACTGAAGAGGTGTCTCCACAACTCTGAACCACTCAAATTTTATCCTTGACTGATGAAAAAAAAAATGGAAATCCTTGACGAAGGACGGGGAGGGGTGGCCGGCGGTTCTCTCTTTTTTTCCTTTCATTTTAAGTTTTTAATTTAAAAATTATTAAAATAAGTTTTTAATTAAAAAATTATTAAAATAACTTTTTAAATAAAAATAATTAAATTAACCGGTCAACAGGTCAATGATCAGAAATTTGGCAGAAAAATGACCAAATATAATACAAATTAGAGTTAATGTCACATGCGATCTTTCGAGTATAGTGGTTTTGCCATGTATAGTCATAAACTTTCAAATTTAATTATTCGTGGTCCAATTTAACAATCCATGGTTTTTGAACTTTCAGAATTTAACCAGTTGTGGTCCTCTTGAAAGAACCATGGTTGGTTAGAATTTAATAATTGAAGGATCATGGATGATTAACATGGACCACAAAAGGTACTAATTTGAAAATCAAAGTATTACAAGTGGTCAATTAGTAAATTTAGGACTAAACGTGACAAAATCATTATATTTAGAGGTCCTTAGATGATATTATTTAAAATTTGTATATTCAAGCGACATAACTGTGACTATTTTAATTAGGAGTTTATAGGTGTGAACCCTCATATAAAAAATAATGTATTTTATTTTTAAGCAAACTATTTTATCAAACTGATTACGCTAGTTGACTGATGAGACGTTTCTCCTTAACTCACGACTACTTATTATGCTTGGGAAAAAATGGAAATTCAAGAAGAACCAATACCAAAGTCTATAGTACTATAAGTAGTGAGTTTTTGCAGTTTTTGTCCCACGACTATAATGGCACTGGCAAAATTGATTCATGACTTTTGAACTTTGCAATTTTAGTCCACGACTCCTTCCGGCCACTTTTCCGTCAAAATTTCACCGGAAAAAAAATTCTCCATTTTTAGCTAGGTTAAAATTGACATTTTACTTATCTCAAAAAATTAAAAGAAAAAAATTGATATTTGACTACATACAATATTACTGGGCTACATACTACTGCCCCAGGCGGCGGAGTTCCTGGAGCAAGCAGGGCTGTCAGTAAGCGGCGAAGCTGCCGTGGCGTTCCCCGGGCTAGTTGGGTTATCCGGCAGCAGCATTGGAGGCGGAGCCAGCACGTCTGCCGGATCATACGAAGACATCGGAAAAGTAAAATGTCAATTTTAACCCGGCTAAAAAATGGAAAAAAAAAAAAACCGGTGAAATTTTGACGAAAAAGTGGCCGGAAAGACCATTTTTGTAAAAAAATCAATAGTCGTGGACTAAAATTGTAAGGTTCAAAAGTCGTGGATCAATCCTGCCAGTACCACTATAGTCGTGAGATCAAAAGTGCAAAAAACTCTAAAGGTAGTTCCCAATAGTCTTGTGTTAGTACTTATATATTTATTTATTAATAAATGCTCTTGATAATTAATGCTTTGAATAGCATCACGTGTTTCTACTGACCCCTTCCCCTACTCCCAACCTCTTGATAATTAATGCTTTGGAGCAATTTAACGAATTGTACACCAAATCGTAATATAACGAATTGTTCATCAAATCATTAAGCCACGATTCAATATTACCGAATTGATTAAATGTCTTGATTCGTCAAATACCAAAGATTCGATATTCTGTTCCAATCGTATGTAATATTTATATTTCTCAATTTACTTTCTACCAAATTAAAATAATATGGAATAAGGTTTAAATTGGCCACTGAACTTAACATGAAAATACAATTAGGCCACTGAACGAAAAAAAAAAAATGTAATTAGGCCACTGAACACTCCAAATGTATGCAATTTCACCTTATAGCAGGTTACCATCAATTTTAGCAGGTTACTTATTTACGTGGCAGCTGAGTTGACATTTTTAATAAATTTTAAATTTTAATTTTAAATATATTTTAATAATAATTTTTTTTTAAAAATAAATAAATAAAAAAACGACGGTTTATTTTTTTATTTTTAATTTAATTTTAAAAAATTAAATTTATTAAAAAAAATTAAAAATTATTAAAAATGCCAACTCAGCTGCCACGTAAGCAGGTAACCTGCTAAAATTGATGGTAACTTGCTATCCGGTGAAATTGCATACATTTGGAGTGTTCAGTCGCCTAATTGCACGTTTTTGGAGTGTTCAGTGGCCTAATTGCACTTTTTTTTTTTTTTGTTCAGTGGCCTAATTGCATTTTCAAGTTACGTTCAGTGGCCAATTTAAAACGTATTCCAAATAATATTAACTCCACAACTCCAAATATTATTTAAGCTTTTATGGTAAGCCATCTGAATCATTAATCTCCATTACTATATAAATTTCTTGTTCCAAATACTCCTATATAAATTTCTAACACTAGCTAGTGCATGTGACACGATAGGCAAATTAAATGATCACCATTCATCAACTTGAGATGAGTTTAAGGAGGGACAAGTGGAGTTGATAGATTTAAAGGGATATGTATTTTCAATAAACCTAACATGATGAGATGTATAAATTTTATGTGTTTGAGGATCAAGACAATAATGTATGCATTTTGAGTAGTTGAGTAGCCTATAAAGACACATGCGATGGAGCAGGGGTCAAGTTTATGTGGGGTATACGTACGGGGGCATCCAAGGGTAGCAAAGACAACCAAAACTTTTCAATTTTAGTACTAAAGAGTTTAGTATATATATGGGGAATGATTATTTAGTGTAGGTGTAAGAAGGTGATTGATTAGATATACTGTTGTGGTAAAGGCAAGAGGTCAATATTTTTGTGACATGAAAGCATGAAAGAGAAGAGACAAACCGATTTCAACTATATGTCTATGACGATGTTCAGAGTAACCATTATGTTCTGGCATATGAGGATGAGATTTGAGATGAGTGATGCCATTTACAGCTAAGTAATCAACTAAAGCTTGATACTCACCTCCATTATCAGTGCTCTATATCGAATAAAGGCATCTCGGACATTTGATTTTTGTTTGAGAGGATTTTTTTTTTTTGAAAATTTTCCATGCGGTATATTAATGAATAAACTGAATGATAGAGTTAGGAGGGACAGAGTCCCAATACATAGCTTGGTCCTGATCGAAAGCTAAAGAAGCTAAAGTATGAGCATGTAAATTTAAACTTCTCGAAATATAACTCAGCGAGCATCTCGTAAATAACGATATAGCAGTCCTACACTGGTCTACAATGATCCCAAGGTAGGAGTAGTTAGCCGTGTGGCTTGTACGCATCATATTTTGTAATTCCATGCAGTCCGTCAACATGTCCACCTCCATGATGTCCCGATTCTTAAACCAAGAGAGCGCCTCCTTACAGGCCAGTGCTTCGGCCATAGTAGCCGAGAAAGCACCCGCGAGCCGTCCATTCATTGCCGCAACAAACGATCCATGTTGTGAGACGAGAACTACACCATAGGATGCTTCTCCCGTATCCGGCCTGAAACCCGCGTCTACGTAGCAGCGAGGTACACCGCCAGTGGCTTGACTGATCACGGCAGTAAGTGTCCGTGCCGGCAGGCCGGGCTGCGCACGTCGGTATGCCTGCATGGCCGCCACCGCTCGATTCCATGTGTCCGTCGGTCTTGGGAGGGCGTGGTCCCATACCACCTTGTTGCGGGTACTCCAAATAGCATATAATATCGCCACTGCTAGGCCACATTGTTCCTCTGTCAAGACATTAAAAATTCCCATAAGCCATGTCGGCAATGAATTAGTATGTATATTGGTAACCGGCAACCCCGACATACCCCACACTAATTTTGAATAGTCACACTCGAGTAACGCATGCATGATGTTCTCATGCGCCCCTTGGCACATTGGGCACAGCAGATCAATCTCAACTCGTCGCATTATTAGATTGTCCGTAATAGGGAGGATACCACAGACTGCTCTCCACAAAAAAGTCTTCCATTTGGGTGGCACTTTCAATTTCCACATAGTAACCCATTTGTCAAAGTCACCTGGGTTATGCACATAATCCCCCTTAATCTGCCTATAGGCATTTTTAATTGAATATATTCCATTCATCTCCCCCTTCCAGTACCAAGTGTCTTCATATTCGGGGCTAACAGGGATCATTAAAATACGTGTGACATCCTCAGGAATAAATAAATCAGTCAGAATATGTGGATCCCAGGTATTAGTTTGTTGGTCAATCAATCCTGCTACATGGGCATGTCGCAACTCCTGGGGCATTATTGTTTGGACCATCGGACTGGGATTATCTGGTAGCCAGGGATGCCCCCATATTAATGTTTTTTGTCCATTCCCTACACGCCTCCTTACCCCGGAACAAACCATTCCGTGCGCAACCATTATACTTCTCCAGCAAAAACTTGGGCAATTTCCTATGGTAGCATCAACAAAAGATGTATTCGGGTAATACCTGACTTTATATATTCTTGCCACCAAAGTGCCGGGGTTTGTGAGAAAACGCCATGCCTGTTTTCCCAGCATTGCCAAATTAAAAGCTCGTAGGTCTTTAAATCCCAGACCCCCATACTTCTTAGGGATGCATAATTTATCCCAAGCCTTCCAATGTATTTTCCTCTCCGTTCCAGATCCCCACCAATACCTGTTCATGGTCCTCTCTATTGATGTGCAAACTGTCTCAGGTAACAAAAAAACACTCATTGAAAAGGTTGGCATAGATTGTGCCACACTTTTCAAAAGTACTTCCTTACCAGCCTGAGAAAGCAGCTTTTTACTCCAGGAACCAATTCTCTGCGTGATTTTATCCTCCACATAGGAAAAAACAGCTCTCTTATTTCTGCCTACAAAAGATGGGAGTCCCAAATATTTCCCAAAATTAGCCGCCTGACTTACCCCTAAAACTGCCGCCAC